GTATGATCTACTAGAGACCGTGATCAAGGGTTTACATCTTCAACAACCAATATCTGGCCCCTACTAAGGACCGTTCAACCACCAGATTCGAAATGCAGTAAAAAACAAAGGATTCTTTTTGAATCTGGGCTACTGAGTTATCCATTCAGTACAAGTATCTGGCCCGTACCGAGTGCTCTTGACGACCAAGAGGCCAGCTTTTCAGGGAGACCCCTACCGAGTGCTCTTGACGAACAAGAGGTAAGCTTTTCGGGTATAGTTTAATAGAGACCGTGATCAGGGGTTACTCGTTCAACAACCAGTATCTTATCTTATTAAGGACGACCGTTCGACAACCAGATTCAAAAATATCCGCGAATCTCATCCTTAAAAATATTAGTCAAATATGAATAAGTGATTAATACTTATCTTGAATCCCGTAAGTTTTTCCTTCGCGGTGTGGTAGGCGTTGCAGATTATGCTGGTGTTTTCTTGTTTAGTTTGATGGTGTACGATAATTTCACGGTCGCTTTCATTTCTCCGTGTTCCTGTATCAGTTTTTCGAAGACGAAAAAACTAAATTACTAAAAAAGAATTTCAGCCATTGTTATTGTTGAAGAGACGAAGTGTTAGAGACGAGAAAACTAAATTACTAAAAAGAATTTCAGTCATTGTTATTGTTGAAGAGACGAAGTGTTAGAGACGAGAAAACTAAATTACTAAAAAGAATTTCAGTCATTGTTATTGTTGAAGAGACGAAGTGTTAGAGACGAGAAAACTAAAAAGAATTTCAGTCATTATGTAGAGACGAAGTGTTAAGAGATGAGAAAACAAAGAATTAATTACCGTTACGTACCCCTTTTTATTACATATTAACGTTATACAAACTCATTATTAATCAAGATTTTTCTGTGAAACAAGAATGTCGATCCTAGTTTTTGTTGATACATCGTATTAGTACCCTAAAAAATGTACGGTTCACGTGATCTAAAATAAGTCCATTAAAATATCCGTTTAATATTAGATATCAAGTATTAGGGTTAGGATTAGATCTGAGATCAAGTTTATATATAAAATTGCCTTCCCGACATTTTTTGATAGTGCACCAATCTAGATTCAAACATCTGTTTTTTGTATTTTTTTGTATTTTTTGTCTTTTCTCATTTTCTTGTACTGAATTTGCACATTCTTACATCTTAACATTACTATTCACTCTATTCACTTGAATATAAAAAATATAATTGATTTTTTCATAAAGCTAACAATAAAAATTTCGTAATTTTGTAATCTAAAGATCAGATCCTCATTTTTTTACATGTAATCAGTTATATATCCTAGTCACGGCAAAAAAGTGATAGGTCACGTGAGCCCGATCCATTCAATGCTTGAATACTTCAGAAATTGAAGTAAAAAACAAAATAAAATAGTGTTAATATCTGAAAAATGTGTGCTGATGAACATTTTATAACTGAGTGACAACTACGAAGCAACTGACTATTGAGAAGCATTGAACAAAATCAATGTATATGCGAGAAGAGACATTATAATTAAATTAGTGAAGATTTTTTAACTAATAAAATTATCGTGCGGAATAATAACTCAATTTGAAAAACAAAAAAAATATTGTTAAAGTCATGGATTAATAGTATTTAGCATTAATATTTAATGACATCAGAGTAGAGCTAGCAACTGATTATTGAAAGTATCAGACGAGATCAATATATGCGGGAAGGAGAAGTGTTATAATTAAAGTAGTTTTAGCTAAAGGATATTTAATAAAATTATTATAATATCCACTGGATTAATTGTATAATAGAGGAGTTTTATTGAGCTCATAGATATGAAGCAACCAATTATTGAGAAACATCGGACGAGATCAATATGTATATAGAAAGATAAGTGTTGTGATCAATAGTGATGACTTTAAAAATCTTTATTCTTTGTTAAAATTTTTAATAAAAATCTTTATGAATAATATAAAATAAACTGTTTTTATCAAATAGTTCATGAAATAGTAATACCTTTCCGGATAAAAATAATATTAAGAAATATAAAATGGAATATTAAATATTATTACATTAACATCTGAAAGAAGTAAAATAAACTCACCATAAATAATATATAATGATCTGTCAAGTTACTTGATTCCACCAGTCATGTATCAGTTATAATTTCAAAAGTTGTTCTGAGTAGATAATGTCTAAATTGGCAGACAGTCCAGACTACTGCTAGAGCTACTTTTTTGGTAGTACTGTATCAGGTTTCAGCTAGTTTAAGAGAAACACTTGAATATATGATTACTCTTTCTTGATTTTGATCATCTTTTTGTAAGAGTATGACTTCCAGTCTAGAATTAGAGGCATCAATATAAAGATAGAATTTCTTTGTGAAATCTGGATAAATTAATATTGATACTATTGTAAGTATCTTCTTGAGTTTGTTAAAAGCTTCTTCTTGATTGATAGTTCAAATAAAAATAATATTGTTTTGTAGTAATTTAAATAGTGATACAGCTATTTGCAAAAAGTCTTTGATAAATTTTCAGTAGAATTCAGCTAGTTCAAGAAAAAAATGAAGTCCTTTTATTATATGAGATTGTGAAAAATTGATAATCTTTTGTATGATTGAAGAGTTAGGTAAGATTCCATTTTCATTTATCACATGTTCAAGGAAGAATAATTCTTTTCGAATGAAGTTATATTTGGCTTTGTTGAGTTTTAGTTCAGCTTTTTTTATTCATTGAAATATGAATCACAAATATTATAAATATTCTTTAAATATTTAAGAAAAGATATTGATATTATTGATGTAAATTATAGCAAATTTCCAATTATAGTTTTCAAGTATATTGTCCATTGCTCTTTGAAAAGTAGAAGATCCATTATATATATCAAAAAATATAATATTAAATTCATATAGTTCTTCACAAGAGATAAAAGTTATCTTTTGAACACTATTAGGATGTATTCCAATTTGTCAAAATCTATTGGTCAGGTCAATTGAAGAAAATCATTTTGCTTTTCCAAGTGCATCCATCATTTCATCAATTCAGGGTAATAAAATAGGCGTCTTTTTTTGTGATAAAGTTGAGTTTGCAATAATTAACACAAAATTTTTTCTTTTCATTTTTCTTTATTACTATAACAATAGGTGAGACCCAAAGGCTAGTTGAGGGTTAAGCTATTTCAGCATCTATCATTTTTTGAATTTTATTTAAAATAAATTCTTAATCAGGTAATGTTGTTTGATATGCTCTTTATCTAATTGATCATTCATTACTAGTATTAATTATATATTGAACTTTATTGATTCTTCTAAATTCATAAAGTTCAGCAGCAAATATATTATTGAATTCTTCTAATAGTTAATTTAATACTTGGTCTTGTTTATTGGTTAATTCTCATCATTCAATTGATTTGTTTTCTTCTTTTTCTTAATTTATGAAGTATGTCATTATATTTTCATTGTTTGTTGATCCAAATTCACTAGTTCCATAACTAGAGTCTTCTAGTTCTTGATAAGTATATACTGATTGCAGTTTACAATCAGAACTAGTTATAAGAATACTACTTGTGTGATTTTGTTATTTGGTTGAATAGTATAATCTTCATCAAATCAATTATATTGTATTATACTAATATTTTCAGTATAGCCAGAGTCATTAATACTATCTTTAATATCAATTTCTTTGAATGCGAGAGATGATCAAGACATTAATTAATATACCATTTTGATAGCTATTTTCATAATAATGAATAAATCAATCAATATTGTTTGTTGTGATTTAATGGTGAGTGATTATTTTTCAGTATATCTAATATTAAAACTAGTATTATTTTCATGAGCTCATTCTGGTATTTTGTCTTTGTCATTATTATTGTACACTTTGATAGTAAGATTGGCATCTTTAGTTTTAATATTATTAAAAATAATTATAATATTATCTGGATTGTATTTATCTAAAATTTCTTTACATGACTCATAGATAATTTCATCATCAAAAGTTATATTATTTTCCATTTGGTTAATTTTGTTTTGGATTTCTTTGCATAGTTAGTAGATTTTGTTGAGTGTATCTTATAGATTAGTGATGTCAAATATCTAAAGAGGTGTGACTTTAATACTTCTAATTTTTTCTAATAATTCATCTGATTTAGTGACATATTGATTGATTTCTTGAATGAGTTCTTTTTTTTTTAGTTGTTAGATACATGAATAATTTGTCTTTGTCAATTTCTATGGAAGGCTGATTAGTAACTGCTTGTTCTAATTGTATGCAATTATCACAATAAGTTGAGTCACAGAGAATAAAACAATCTTCACAAAGTTTAATATTAATAAATTCAAGTTTGGCAAGTTGTAATTATTATTCTGAAGAGATTTGTTAATAGATCGAGTAAAAGATTTCAGTAACTGAGACTTCTTCTAATTTACTATATTTAATATTTCCAATTTTGTTTTCAATATCTTCTTTATGTATATACTGAAATAATATTGCTTTTTTAATTTTATTACAGGTTGAATAGACATCAATCAAAAGAGATCATTCTCTGAGTTTTCGAATGATTCCAGAATTTTTGTACTATTCATTATAGTTGAACCAAAATATACATTGGTATTCATAGGTATAGAAGTATTATTTCTTATAATTACCAGTAATATACATATTTTTGAACTCATCTTAATCTCAACAATATAAGTAGGATGGAAGATTAAGTTACTTTTCTTCATAACATTGTTTATAAGCCAATTTGAAAACATTTTCTGAGATGAGGTAAGATTTGGAATAATATTCTTTAATATATTTTCTACATATTTTGCATCTTACAATTTTGAAGACTGAATTGATCACTTGTTGAACTTCTCCAAAAGTATTGAAATGTTGATTAAGATGTTAAGTTTTTAAATAAAGTTATTCTACTTCATTAACACAATTATTACTAGTTTTATATTTAGCATGATATGATTTATATCTTTTGATAGCAATCCAATTAGCCAAGTTATTATAGCATTGATGATATTGTTGATCTGGAATGTATAATTAGTTATGGTATCAGCATTTTGTATTTGATCCTTTTCAGTCAAAAGATCATTGACTGTTCTATTTACATTTATTGGAATTTTCATCAAGTCATTAGATATCTTCCCAGTTAAACTTTCTCATTTAAACTTTAATTCCTTCTTCGTATGCTCTTCTAATAATTCTTGTTGGCATGTTTTCATTGCTAATATAACTAATATCTCTTTTGTGAGTATTGATTGGTATTCATTCTTCTTTAGATTTTGGTTCTATATCTTCGAATTAAACTCATTATCAGCAAGATTGCACTATTCTAGTTGTTTTTATAGTTAAATATTAGAAAGTTATAACTCTTTAAATTCTGTTCTTTG